CATCGTGCTTTTTCATCCGGAGACGCAGACGTTTCGCCAGGATGCTCTCGATGCTCTCGTTCTCTCTTTTTTGCGCTTTGTTTGTATTTCGACTCCCACCTTCATGGGAGAAACGCCAGTTTTACGAATATCTTCCGCGCGCGAGCGCAGTCTATTTCCTGTTTTTTAACTTCTCTCGTGAGTGGATTAGGCACAAGTTGAAAGTCGACTTTCATATCAAATTTACATCGGATTTAGAAAGGAAATAATATTGCTTATATAATATGTGTATCTACTTGTCCGTTGCATACGCCATTTTCAGAAATGACGTAGGCCGATCGGGACTCGCATTTTTGAGGTCAACATTTTCAAATTGATCTTTGAAAATTGCAAACGTAATCCTAACGTTGCCTGCGTCATAAAATAAAATTCCCATACACTGTTCTTCGAATTATGACGATCTGTAATCTCGTGTATTATCAACGCAGCGCGATAATATCGCGCAAACTAGACGTACGCCGTACTATTTGTCAAATTTTTGATAAACTGGGACAAAAATATAAAAGTGAAATCTCAGTCTGAATTCCAATGCATAATCTACATAGTAGAGGTACGTTTACGCCATATCTTGCTGCCTGCAAATGCATAATCTTGACATTCAAGAAACAATTGTTAGCTACTAACGTCTAGCTAGACTAGCGACTAGCTCGTATTAACGAATCTAAAAATAAATAAATAAATTTTAAACTATACAAATTCAATCGCGTTTATCCTAATTTACATTTAATAAATGTTACTCAGTCAAATCAATTTCTTATATTCGATTCGACTTTTTTGAACGTTTGTTTAATTTAATTTAGAATATATAAATTTTTAAATAATAATTATTAAATCGTGCTCAGTTCTGGACACATTGGAAAGTTAAAAATCATATGCGTGTACGACAATGTTATTCTACATCAGATTTTCTTGTTACTTTTCAGCTTAAGGCTTTCATGAATAATTTAATTATATGATTAACTGATTAAGCGATAAATGATATTCTATTTCTTAAAAAATTACAGTAATATTAATGATAAAAATATTATCTACACTCTATGAAACTGTCGACACAATTTAAATTAGAATAAATTTTATAGAATAAAAATATAAGCTTATTAATACGTGGTATTTACCAACCTGTTCATCACTTTGAAGTAAAATAATTAAAGTCGTTGTTAATTAAAAAATACAGCGTTAAACATAATAAAGTTCAAAGTTAAGAACATAATGTTTAAAATATATCTTCTTCATATTAAAGGCTAAATATAAAGATCCTACATACAGTTGTTCTTCAATAATATAATTCTTATATGTTAATTGTAGAAAGTAAAAATTCCAATTTTTGCAGTTAAAAACAATTTCACTGTCTTTTTATAAGAAGGATTATTCATTATTTCTTGTTTACTACAAATGTACGTAACTTATTCAATCTCATAAATTACGTGGTACTTTTACTTTCTAATGAAAACTATTTTCTACATTTAATTTTTTGTAATATTAGCAATTACGATACCATCTATTTCCTCTAGCAAATCCTTCTTTAATAATAATTAATTAATTTAATAAAAAATAAATAATTAATTAATTTAATAACAATATATATATATATATATATATATATATATTGTAAATTGTTGCACCTCGTCAAAAAACAAACTTTTCAAAACTAAAGGCATTTAAAGTTCAAATAATTTTTAAAATGTTTATTAAAATCAAATTATAATTATCATGTAAAAGTGACATTTATCAATGATAAATATTTATTATGGATTAACGATAGTTCCATGAAAAGAGTTATAAGACTGAGCAATAATTTATAAATAATGTATATTTGTACAAATGTAATAAAATAATTGATACTTATTTCAACACTTTATCATTTAACTCGTATAAACAATTTTACTCAAATAAGTGTATAAATAAAATTTTAAGCTCGAGAAATGTGACATTTATTACGATATATAATATTTAAGAATTTCTAAATAATTTAGTAAAAATATTACAATGAATTATACGTGAAATATCAGTTTAGACTTATTCAAATAGAAGCTAATAGATGTTCGTTATTACTTAGATGTTTCAATATTAAAATTCTCTTATATAAAATAAAGTATTAACAATACTTTCGATAATTGTACAATATATAGTTATTCAATATCATAAATAAACATTGATTTTCCATCGCTAATACCAGTGATTATTTTCATTTTTAAACTTCAAGTATAAATTAACTTTCTATATTTAAATTTAGGTTTAAAATTTTTTATTATAACACTTATAAATAATAATAATCTTAATTGATAAAATAATAAAAAGCTTGTATAAATGAAGAAAATTAACAACGAGTTAAAGCCTGATTAATTACAAGTAGCTTTTTAATTTAACAACATAAAATATAATTATATTTACTTCAAATTTTATATTACTGTCACACTAATCTTTTAATAGAGTTCATTATTTGTTACTAAAATAAATATTAATGAAATTTTTGGTTAGTTAAAGAATAAGCAAATTTAACGAAATCAAATATATATAATGAAGATTGAATTTATTATTACAATTTTGATTCATGGATATTTTCAAAACATATTAGAATTGTCTTTAAAATACCTAACATCAACATCAATTGAAGTTTACATTGAGAAAGAGTCAAATTTATAATTGCCGTACAGTTAATTTAGAACGTAATAAATACCAATTAAATAAAACCATCTAAAGGAAGCTATGTTCTTCTTATTTTTTCTGATGAAAGTTTATTCAGTTCGTACAGAACAATTTGATTAGAGATTAGTATGTAGTTAGTGAAATAAGTAAAAGGCAAACTATTCAGTGCTGTAATATTTAAGTAATATATAATATGTCAGGCTTAATAATGTTATAGCATAGAGAGAGAGAGAGAGAGAGAGAGAGAGAGAGAGAGAGAGAAAGGTGGTTTGGATATTTAGATTATTTCGCAGTTTGTTGCAATAAAAAAGTGGTTTAATTTTCTTCTTTAATATTTATATGAATTTTAATTCAAATTAATTCAAAAACTTTAATTTAAATAAAATCATCAAAATTACTCTTGCTGATTGTCTAGTTAGTAACAATTTGCTTAATATAAATATGATGTACATTACTATATGTATTGCTTCTAACGAAAGTATTTCATATCCATTTGTTTCTGAACGTAATGCAATAATTTACTAATACAATAACATTTATAAGACTTTTTTATTTGTGCAAAGTAAAATTTTGATATTTAATGTATTGTACTATTTTAAACTATGCATGCTATGGTATCATTTATGGTAGTAAAATAGAAGATATCAAACAATTGCCTTTGTGACAAACTGCTATTATCAATGCGAAGCTTACATAGCTGAAAACTCATATTGCTTTAATTAAATCGCTTAATTAAGATTTTAAATACAAGCAAACTCTGTATTTCTAACATTAACTTGTATTTTAACATATAAATTCATCCTAATATCCTGTAGTTTTTCTGATTAATTAACTAAGCCTCATTAATTAACATAAATAATAACATCATTTCTAATTTATAAAATAATGAGTTATTTAAATTGATTAAAAGGAGGAGCAATGTACGAGCTCCCAAAAGATCTGAGCAAGTCTCCTTAAAAACAAGAATCTAATGACGAATGATAAATAATACGCTTTACTTTGAATTTTGAGACCCGCTGTCGCGTGTAAAGCATAAATGTTGTAATTACGAAAGATATTTTTGTGTTCTTGCTTGATACAATTGGCTCGACCTTCAAGGCCAAAAGGTGATAAAAATGAATGCTCATCAACATCAACTATTTGTCACTTAATATAATTGAAAAAATGCTAAACGAATTTTAATATTATTTAATCAATATTTGTGGATATTCTGTTTGTTGCTAAAAAAAAAAAAAAAAAAAAAAAAAAAAAAAAAAAAAACATAATTATCCAAAAAGTGAAATATTTTTTGCCGAAGTTATTAACGAATGTTGCATAACGTAAGATAAATGAAAAAATATATATTTGTGAATGGTATAAGATTTCGGTATAATTCAACTTATAGTACATTTATTGCAAACTATTGCAGATATGGTTTATTCTTATAAAGCTTTGCAATGTTATGATGTAATTATCAATCAATTTGTACGGTAATTTTTTTTAATTTAGGCGATTATTATTATTTATTGTTAAAGATTTTTACTTATCGGTTACTTAAGTTTTTCATGAAATTATATAATAAATGATCGTCAATAAAGAGTACGAGATAGGGTGATGTTATTGCAATCTCTTTTTTAATTTAAATATTTGCACTAAATTCTGCGTAACTGGTATATAAAAATTATATATGAAAATGATGGAGACTCGCAACTACTTGTTATATAAAAAATAATTAGCTTCGATATTTTTATCATATGTGAGAATTATTTTAGGTTTTATAATACTATATTATGAAAATGCTTTCAATTATGCATTCATAACATTTTTATTTGATTGTTGCGTAAAATAATGGTTGTTGCGTATATTAATTCATCAAAAACTACTTCAAGATGCATGATATTTATAACTGTATATGGTAAAATTAATATTAACGGCGGTTGATATCTGATTATTGAGTAAACTTGAATTTGGTATTAAAATTGTTCTACTTAAAGAAAAAAATATTTAAAACATAAGACTCATATATGGCCCTGTTTTGGGAAAGGTGTTATTTCTAATGTATTCAATGGTTGATGTAATTCTGACAGAATATGATTTAATACTTGTTTCTGACTTTTCTCAAATTTATAACGAAATTGGAATGATAAACAATAACATTTAGTTTAGTAAAATTGAAAAGACTTTTGAGTTTAAAATCAATTTAAATGTTTTTAATTATAAATTTGGTTATAAACTTCAAAATTTGATGCACATTTACTAAAGATCACTCTTATTAATTGATGCATACTGACATGTATATTTGAATAATAAAAATAATAATAAATTAACGTTAAATAGTTGTGAAAAATTAAAATAAAAAAATGATGAATAAATGAAAACTTATTTTTGGAAGTTGTTCAAGGATTTAAGGATTATCTTCAGCTTTTGACAGATACTGATGTTCTAATGGATGGGCGTGAAATATTGGATCGAGACTTCAAGGATACATCTCTGGATTCAGGCAGGTTTCCAATTACCTATATAGGATTATATTAAAATAAGATATTAATAAAAATGTATTGGTAAAGTATTGTATAATGCTAAAATGAAAAATATTAAATAAGTAAATATTATTTAATTACTTTTTACCCATAATACACACTTAAAAAATGAATAATATAAAATAATGTATTGCTTATTGAAACGTAGATAAACAATTATAAGCTCACGAAATAATACAATGATTGCTTTATATTTTTCTATTTCTTTAAGAAAAATTTCATATAAAATAATTGTTTATAATTATTTACTCTTTTTTGAGTGATAGCAATGATTTTCATAAACGGGCTCAACCTTAAGCACATTTATATTGTGAATTAATTAATTTTTAATATTTATGCAATATCCTTAATCACCTCTTGTAATTCTTCCTTTGTGAAAATGTGAAACTTCGTTTCTGGAGTCATAGACATTACTTCAATATTTGTATCGTTAAGTTTCTCTTCCATCACTTGCTTTAATATTTTTAGAGCTGCCTTTGTTGCTTCCTTCAGTGTCATTGACTATAAATACAATTTTGAATTATGATTTTCATAGTAATAGATAATGAATGAAAAATATATGCTTTCATGAAACAGCGTACAATCATGAAATTCCTGCATTTAAAAGGAACAATTCTAAAGTACAATGTAATAATATGAATCTATGGAAATTTGAATCGAATTACACCATCAATTGCACATAATATTCTAAAGATTTTAAATTGTTGTATTTTATGCTCGTTAATTATTTATATATTGAAAACAAAATATAATAAGGATAAGTAAATTATAGGTAAAATGTAGGCGTACCTTATGATAAACCTCTTGAAGCGATTGCTGTGCTCCTTCACTTCCAGATCCAATAGCTTTAGCATCAAATTGAACAAAAGTACCGGAAGGATCCATATGAAATAATTGAGGTCCTTTTTCATCAATGCCAGCAAATAAAAGCGCTACACCAAATGGCCTAGACATGGCACTTCCATCATTATCGCTATCACCAAATTGAATAGCTAAATTCGATACTGCTTGAATCGTAGATTCAACCGACATTTTTTCATTATAAGTAAACCAGTGGTTCTGACATTCTACTCTTGCTCTATCGATCATTGTTCTTGAATCTGCCATAAGACCGGATGATACACAACCAATATGCTTGTCTACTTCGACTATTTTTTCCACCATTGTTGGTTCCATCAAAAACGACGTTGTACGTTTTTCTACAGCTAGAACTACTCCTTCGGATGTACAAATACCAATTGCAGTCCAACCAAGCTTAATAGCCTCCATTGCATATTCGACTTGAAAGAGTCTGCCTTCCGGTGAAAACGTGTTGACACCACGGTCGTACTCTGAGCGCGTTAAAAACATCTGCAAAGCAAGAAATAATTTATTCCTTCATAATAAAATTGAGATGTATAGGATGTGCACTTTTACAAATATTATTAAATTTAAAAGTATATTTAGAGGTTAACTCGGCTTGACTTTTTTATATTCATCTGTAATAAGACGGTCATTAGCTACTAATAAACACGTGCAATTCCGTGCATAAATTAAAAAGTTAAGCTTTTTTAATTGCCATATTACTAAGTATTCGAATCGACGTTAATCTAAAATAAAAGTACTTTACAAGCGACTAAGGTTATCTAAAAATCGTTTTCATAAATCGCTTAAATTTCTCAAGATAAACGTTCCCCCAAGCCGCTTATACATTAATTATGAATTATTTAACCTTTGCGATGAAAAATATCCTTTTCTATGATAAATTCTTTCATAAAGCAGATGCTCCGTGGAAAAACAAACCACTACCGCCTTGCACAAACGCAGAGTCACGACACCGAATGCAGCGCCGCGTGTTCCTAGAATTCAGATTACCGCAAAAGACAGAATTTCTGCATTTCGATAAAGATTACATTTTTGTTGGTTCGACCGGTTGGAAATGGCGTCTGCGCAAGAGAATTCATTGTAAACACAATACAGATTGCACACACCCTTACCGCTGCTTTGGAGAAGACCGGCGGTCCTTACCTTTTTTTATCATAACAATTTGCAATTGTCATTTGTTCTGAAAAGTTTGTTGATTGTTTACGTGATATTGAATCGACACAATTATTCTGTGATAAATTACGTTATATTTTACCCGCTAGGTGAGTTGACTTTGTACCTGGGAAATGATTGATCGAGCGATGTAATAATATTTTGTTACTATGGGGGTATTTCGCTTTTATTGCAGAAGTTATATGGAAAAATAAAGTCGCGATAATGGAGCCAAATAAGATGCTGATTTCCTGCATTGAAGATAAAGATTGGGATGTATTGATGACAATTCTCAAGCCTAAGGACTTTCTCGTCGTTGTGCCAAGGTACAAATGCTTATTTCCCTCTTTTTAATGAAAAACAATAATGTATTATTATTATTATTGTTGTTATTGTTGTTATTGTTATTATTATTATTATTATTATTATTATTATTATTATTATACAAATTTGAAATTTTCTAGAACAATGAGCGATTTCATTAAAGTGCTGAGAGTTGCGGAGCTTTTAGTAAATGAGGATCTCCAGCTTCCCGAAGAGTTAATAAATATTCTCCTAAAATGTTTGGCTAATTCTTGCGTTCATAGTTTTTATCAAAAAACTTATACACCAGAGGGAGACATCTCAAGTTATAAGAATATTTATAAATTCTTATTTGAGGAAGTTTCCAGATTGAACGAACATATACCGTATCCATGTCTTACTTGTTTTCCATACGATAGCATAGTTAGATGGGTTGTTAAGATTATTATAGAGTTGAGCGAGGCTAAAAAGAAATTGAATGACAATCAGAACGACGTCTTAAGATTGAGTCTCCAATTTTTATGTAATTTTTTTACATTTAGTTGTAAAAATTCGTCGGCTGTAGATAGTGTAATAAAATGTATAAGGGATCAAAATTTTATGGACAGAATAATGTAAATCTATATCTATTATTATTAACTGACATATAATTAATTTAGTGTACGGTAATAGTAATGTGACAATTTCATTACAGAAAATTAGTTGGAGATGATAGAGCACCAATCGCAAGAGTAGCTTGCGCCTACGTTCATAATATGGTAAAACAGCATTTGCAACAGTTTTATACGACAATTGATAAAAAACAATTGACCACTGAGCTAATCAAATCGACAATAGCAGATATTAGAGCGGCGTTGGATGCACTTTCGTTATTAGTAAATGAGCCACACTATTTAAAAGAAGTTTACAATGAAATAAGTATTGATGATAAATTGTATTTACTTGATATCATTTTTCAAACAGTTCATTCGGGTCCTTGTAATGAAGGTATTGAAAACCCTACTGGACTTCAAATAGAAGTTATCGAATTTTTATGCGACATATTTAAAAAGAAAAGTGATGCGATTTTCAAATCGGTAGATACAGAAATGAGTGATTTAGATATTACAGAAATTACCATGTTGTTAGATATCATTGGAATTATAACATCCAAGTCAAATAAAGAGCAATGTAAAAGTCTTCAGGATGACACAAGTTTTTTAATTAATTGCCTTTGTAAGAATACAATAAACGTATTTTAAACAACAATTAATTGATTTGAATGTATAATTAATTCTTTCATTTCCAGTTCTTTTAAAAGCCGTTCATTTGTATGGCAAACAATCAAACAATCACTTCACGCCTATACAAAAGTTGAACGATCTTACATTAAATACACAGAATAATTGTTGCAACGAAGCCGAAGATCCAAATAATCATGTTTGCTTTAAAAGCATCGAAGCACATCCTGCCTATCGGTTTAAGGCAAGATTAATAAGAGTAATTGGAAATTTAGTTTATAAACATAAGAAGAATCAAAATTTGGTAAGAAATATTATATAATTTTTAAAAATAATTCATCATTTACGAATCATTAACTATATAATTACGATTCATATAACATTAATATAAAGAGTATGTATAATGGTAGCATATTTTTTATCAACATTTATATTATAAATAAATTATTTTTTAATGTATTAATTATGTTTTAACGATAAATTTATGCTAAACAGAGATTATTATAATATACAGTTAAATTAGTACATTTTCAGTTAATCATAAAGATAATAACATTCTTTTAACACCTGAATAATGTTTAGATAAGGGAAAATGATGGAATTCCACTTTTACTGGATTGTTGCAATATTGATGCAAGAAATCCAAGTATCCTTTTTTGATCACTTTTTGTTATTGTTTTCCCTAGTGCGAGAAAAAATTGATTTTCATAAATATCGTAAGTCTGTACAAACATAGAATATTTATTATTAAATAAACATCTCATTGACATTTCATTTAATATAGTTTAAAATTAAATAAAAATTGATTCCTATATTCTTCTATATAAAAGCTAAATAATTTAATTGATATATTAGCAATATTTCTTAGTTACGATTCATAATTGTAAATCGATTCAATCTATCATTGCACAAAATTTCAGATAATTGAATATTTTAAGAGATCTTATTCTATCATTAATATTAAATAAGCAAATTTGGTTATTTATGCAAATTTTTTGAATGACGCAATATTTAATGGTTGCATATAAAAACGCACGCTTACGTAATTTATTAAAAAATTCTTAATATATAATAATTCTTATAAAATTATGATAATTAAGATTGTACAAAAGGTTGTGCCCCTCTGTGTGCGTATATGTTTAAAATTTTATAAAATATCTAGTCATAGTTATTAAATATGTAATATATATAAAAGGTAAAATATAATATAATTTAATGCAGTTAGTCATAAATCAAAAGATTCGTGATATTTTCATTAACATTTACAAAATAGTGATAACCCAGTGGGCAATTCTCGCAATTAGAAATTTGCTCGAAGATAATCCGGAAAATCAAGAAGTTGTCCATAAGAGTGTTAAAGTTGGAGTTTTCGAGAATTCAGTAGTACGAACACTAGGATTAACACTTCATGGTGAAGGCGAAGAGAATACAATTGGCATTATGCCCTTACCCTCGAAGAATAATTAATATGGCTTAATGCCATTATAATAATGAGATCTATGTAATTTGATTGAATCAAATGTATCTTCCATTAGTAGTGCCAAAATTTAAGATAACGACACACTTCCTCTTTAAGTATGATAGCTAATTTAGCGCTACTTATTTTGTATATCAATTTTTTTTATATTACATAACGATTTATGAGTATCATAGGAGGTGATAAAGTCGTCTCCTGTTTTATCTTCCGTACGTGTGACGTAGATATCTACATTGTGGATGGATCCTTCCGCATGTCCTGTACTTTGAGAATAGATGTCCTTATTGTTGCCTATATAGTATATTATACTTTTGTACCTTTTTTAAACGACAGATAAAATATCCATTTCTATATATTACGCACGTAAAAATAAATAAATATACATATACGTATTTGTGTGTGTGTGTGTGTGTGTGTGTATGTGTGTATGGGTGTGTGCGCGCGCGTGCATGTATATATATGAGCATAATTATGAAATATAAAATCGTATAGAATAAAAATAAAGCTTAAAAAGATAAAATATTGTTAAATCGCTCATTTCAAAGTATAATTGAAATTCCCAACACATCTATTTTCCATCTTTTGCCAGTCCATCATATGTGCGAGAAATTATAACTCCCCTGACATAAAGTATTTAGCGAGTGGAGCTTCCGCCAGTAACTGAACAAAAGCGAAATAAAGTAGCTGTCTCCGTCGCGCGACTTTGCAATTTACTTGCAATCCGATATGCCATTAAGGCATCAGCGAGATTGCGATGTTACTCGGTTGTGTTAGCATTGGCCGCTCTCGCCTCCCTTTTTTCCCCTATTTTTTGCCGCCTCACGACAGCACACCACCGTATAGATCATCCGATCGAAGGCAATCGTGTTCTCGAGTTTCGATCGACAAACGTGTTTTATGCTCATGAGCCTCTTTTTTGCGCCAAATACAGAATTACGTGACACTTTGAGCGTAAGGATAGCCTCTAGCGAGATGCAGTACTCGTCTCTTCCCATTTCTCTCTGTTTTTCTGTCTGTCTGTCTGTCTGTCTGTCTGTCTGTCGTAATGTCTGTATACTGGTCTCTAAGCCCTCCCCCTCCCCCGCCCCTCCCCCTCCCGCACCTTCTCCGCCACTCGTCATATCTTTATCGAGCATACTTACACACACGTACTTATGGAGTTATATACTCCCATGACACATGCGCGTTTATAATGTATAATGACGGTGGGTTTTTATTTTGTTTATTATGCCCTTGTCGCGTACATAAAAAAAAAAAAATTGTATTCAATTAATATGTCAGCCCCGCATGTTTTTATGTTGCTCTAGAATGTCATACACATCTCATTTTTGTTTTGTTTTTTAATTACAATTATATTCATTTTTCATTTTCCATATCATGCGTCTGATTAATTCTACAATTGGAAAATAACGTTGTTATTTTGTGGAACATGAATCTTTTCATTTAACATATGGGCGCGCGTCTCAAACAGAATTTATTATTCCAAATGAAAATATGTACCGTAAGATTTTTTATATTCATCGAAATACTTGTAATAACATAAATAATAAGATAAAAGTTTTATTCGCATCGTTCTCTCGTCTCTCTCCTCGTTTCTCTGAACTTAAGGAGATTATCCACTTTGAGATTGTGCACTGCAAAGTATTTCATTTTTATGATAATTCCTACATTTATTATTATTTTTATAGGCAAGAGCAATTTGTTTGATAGTTATTCTGTCAATGATTTGTGCGTGGCAATCGATGGATCGTTCTTTTAGCCAAGAAAATAACTTTGCATTGCCGAAGTATCACTGCGAGTGTTGACGATAAGTACGAAATCGGCCATAAATAATGCGCGCGGCCCCAGTAAGATGTTGGTGTAGAAAGGAGAGCCATGAAGGTCCGTTCCTTAAAGGGACGTACTAAATGTGCAGCAAAAAGCAAATAGCAAATCCTGCCGCTGCTGTATCGAGCGGCTAATTTACATTACAGTCAAGATAAGGCTTTTAACGCAACGTCCTGTGCATAAATGTGCAGTAGCGGCCAATGTGCGAAGCTAAAGTCGCGGAGTCGTGCAAAATTAACGAGCCAAGTCATGTGCACTATCGTTTAACGGCCGCTGCGATCATCCGTATAGCTTAAGATAAAGCGATTGTACTGCGAATCACGATAACGGCTCGATAATGATCGCTTTATCATAAGAGAGGCAGGGTTTGCCGAGGATCGATGAATGTACTTTTACTCTACGCTTTCATGCTTCTCACCGAATGCAATCATTTTTCAGTCGACCAGTGTTTAGATTACCAAGTAGCGAGACTGGATTATCGTGAAGGGAAGTGGGTTGCCTGCCAATATTGAAATGTCAATTATATTATAACGGGATATTGCCTTTAAGAGCATATATAACGAACAAAACAAAACAAGTAAAAACAATAACAAAAAACAAAAAAAAAAACAAAAATAAAAAAAAAAAAACAAAAAAACGACAAATAATAATTCCCGATTGAGCGCTTATTATTCTTTCAAATGTTTGAGGAGCTTAAAGCTAATCAACTCTCAATCTCCCCATTAAAATCTTAAGGCGCACAAGTCTTCTTTCACGGCATATTTTTTAACCGAAACGCGTAATAATGGCACGGTCAAGAGAAAAATTATTTACCGAATTTTTGTTTATGTTTTGGCTCTTCCCATTTATTAGTCCTTAACTATATGCATTAATAATTCCATGATTTTACCAAAAGACGAATCGAAATACGTTGGAGCGAGATTTTATTCCGCTGTTACGAAACCATTTAACTCGGCTAACGAAAAAAGAATAATAAAGACGAAAATCGTTAATTCCTATCAGTGGTAAAATACACCTTTTGTTGCCCGAATGTATCTATATTTAAATGCAGACTATAATTTAATTTCATCCAAACTTACGATCTTACGTAAGGACGAAAATATAAAATATAACGATGCCGTGCGACCCCAGGGTTAAATATTCCTCTGCCAACCATAAATTTATCTCCCCAGGTTTTCTACTCGATCCGCTAATTCCAGCGCATTGGCAATCTCCGCCCGAAATCGCACGCACCGCTCAATCATACCGGCCTTACACATTTACATCGCAGCGTTGCTCATTCTCCCCGTCGAACACTATCACGCCGCTCCATTTGATAATTGTCCTCCATCGGAGCCATTGCCCCCAACTCGTAGCGTCTCAACGGACCAACACGTAGCGTCACGCGCCCCTGCGCGATTCGCCCTCTAAACGACCCCGCGACCATCGGGCTCTTCTAACTCAGTCGATGCCCGTGTACCTATAAAAGGTTGCGAGAGGCCTTGTTTTCTTCGAAAGCGCAGCACCCTGTTGATAAAAACGACGCACCTGTCTGTCGTACAAGGTTCGTTGATTGTGTACACGACTGTTATTGATTCTGTCCTGATGTAGATATCAATACTTAAGCACGTATATGGCTATGTGTGCGATACGTACGTACTATAGTCCCCTGACCTACATATTTGCCCGTGCATACCGTAATTTTACGTTTTGTTCGTTAAAATAATATTAAAGCAGGCTTAAAACCCTAGATTTGACAAACAATGAATAATTTCATGTAATTTCTCGATGTAGACGAGTTGTTGGTCCATCTCGATGTTGAAGGTTGTTCGAAGTTTGAAAAAAGTTGATGATTTTTTTCTCTCACTCTCTCTCTCTCTCTCTCTTACAAAATATTTAAACCTTACACAGCTCGTATTGTTAATTTTGTTAATTGACGATATTATTATTTATCCGACGAATTATTCCGAGTTTTCCTATATGGACTAATGGTTAATTCACTTTATCGAAATATTTCTTTAAATACGCTAAAGCGCATTAAAAAATGTAGAAATTTAATGAAATATTAAAAATAGTAAAATAACGTTCACACACACACACGCACACACGCACGCACACACACACACATACACACACACACACACACACACACACACACACATATATATATAAATATGAATTAGTAAAAAATTCATTCGTATTGACATAAAAGGTGTAAAATAGATTTAATTTACACGTACGGTATAATTTTATCGATATAAATTAAATATCCTTATTATTACTACATGAGATGCTATTTTATTTAGCATTAATGAAGATATCTATAGATTTGAGAGCTCGTGCACATAAATGCTTATCATACTGCTTTAATTAGTTGTTTTAATACCATAGGTGCATTATTCGATTTTTTCTTACTGTATTTAATGGTCATGGGAATAGATATTATAAAAGTTATAACTGTGAGAAGCAGCTATATAAATGTGCTTAAAATTAAGATTTACAATAAATAAATACTTTATTGAAATTCACTGAGCATAATCGTTCTAATGAATAAATAAATAACTTGATTAAATTCACTTTTATTATTTATGGAAAATTCATAAAAAACGTTTATACACGCGCGCGCGCGCGCGCTTTAACATATATATATATATATATATATATATATATATATATACATATATGAAAACAGACAGCCGACAATATTATGAATTTCAAGTTTATTTAGGCTATTTTTAATTTCATTTTCATAATGGTGTCTATAATTATAGTACAGTCGCTATAATTCATAATATATATATATATATTAGAGAAAATATTTAACGATGAAACACATGAATATGTATATTTGAATTTTATTGCTTTTTTAAAAAAAAAAAAAAAAAAAAAAAAAAAGAAAAAAAAAAAAAAAAAGACCACTTGAACGAAATTTTATTTTACTATGATGTACGGTAATTGGTGGTGAAGAGTTTTTTTATTGTTCATACCCAGTGAACTGTCATCGAGTCAAGCGTTTTCACATTACGCCGAGGTACGTTACATATTAGTAATCTAATCATGTTATACGTTCATTCATTATGTATATTATTATTATTACATATTTAAGCGTGTGTCAACTCAACATATCCTGCGGCATAAAATACACGCGCATGGGCAGATCATTTGCAGTTGAATTAACTATTTCAAAAGACGTTCGTGAAAATAATAATATTA